CAATATCCAGCTGGTACATGGCTGGAGGAGGAGGCTGAGGCGGGGGCTCTACATTACTGGGCCCCACAATATTGATGCCCTGTGAAGATAAGACAGTGCCCAGGTTAGTTTGCTTCAGTAATATGCTTCAGACACACACACACACAAGACACAGGGAAAATAAGAAGTGACAAAATAAATAAGACACCCATTGCAATTAGGGATAAAAAAAAAAAAAGCCAGAAGAAACAAAAACAGAAATAATTGCAAGGTATTTTTAGTCCAACTTAATTCTAGTCAACATCACAATCTGCTTGCACATATAAGATTGGACCCAAGAAAAAGCTGCAAAAATGTTTCTCAATAAATAACAAATAACGAGATTTCTGAATAGATCTCTGAAGTATAACACTATGTTACAAAAACAAAGGTTTGGGCTTTTTGGGGTCTTTTAGAAATGACATTTGTTTTCTACAACATCAATATACACTGAAAAGATAAAAATAAGAAATGCTCATGCTTTAGAAAATAATTACATAATATACAGTACGTCACGTGTAGTGTGAGCATAGAAAGCATGTACCCCCGTCTGCAGCCTCCAAAAATCCTGCTGCTGGAAAGGGTAATCTCTGTGGCTTTACACGTCAGTGCAGCTCTCCACTGTGACAGGAAATCCCCACTGGCTGTAAACGTGATTGGCCATAAAGCCCATTTGCAGGCCACATGTTGCACCAGGCTACGCTGAAATCCATGACACTTGCCTTTGTTTATCAGTATTTGGTACATATTATTCTACTACCCTGATGTATCTTGTGTGTGTGTGGGGAGGACTTCTGTCACATCGCACCAGCTATCATACTCTGAGATGAAGCTAAAAATAAAGACAGAAAAATGCTAGTGGGCCACTGGGAGAATGAGAGAATGAGACATGCAAATGGGGAAAAAAAAGGAGAAAATACACTCTTGAGCTTGTTCTGTATCAACAATGTCACATACAAGCTCTCTTTCCCTAACCGATTATATTCTTATCAACTTTTATTTCAACAACACCAATTTTCCTCACTTATATTTACACAGTAATCTGACTATATTACAGCACTATACACTCACTGGTAACTTCATTACCAGTGCACCTCTTTAGCTGCTTGTGAACTAATCCAATTAAGCAATCAAATGTAGACATGGTAAAGATCACATACTGAGGTTCAAACTGAGCATCAGAAGGTGGAATACTGTAAAGGTCATTTTAAGTGATTTTGAACATGACATGGTTGCTGATGACAGACAGGTTGTGATGGTCCCCGTGTCTCTCTGGTTGGCCCACGCTGGCTACAGGTTTTGTTATTGTTCGTTTTGGTTTTCTTTGTCTCTCCTCCTCCTCTCTGCCTGGGTGGAGCTCGTTACGGGCTCTCGCTCTTGGCCCACGCACCCGTGTGATGGTGTCCACCTGCGGCTGATCTGGCTGATTTCCCCAGCTGCTATTTAAGGCAGTGGCACAGAGCAGCTCACCGCTGGAACGTTGAATCACCTGAGTTCGTGCTCGCGGCATATTCAA